CTTTTGATAGCCGGGCACCATCAGCTTTCTTCACCACATTTTATGAGTATTTCAGTAAAAGTTTTTTTAAAATAAAAATGTTCCTGTAGTTGAGCTCTAACAACAAGAGCACTTTGCGTGAGCCCGCTTTCGTGCATCAACACACCTACAAACCCAAACTCTATGCTCGTGCACTGTTGACCCTCTCAAGATACTGTAGGTGCAGCTGTCCTTACTACACAACGACACTGTGACTCTCATGGCCTCTGCTTAGGGTATAGGTACGCACTTTGGTTTCCTTGCTACCTGTATTTTTATAGCCACTGATTTTGTCTAATGTTCTGATGTTTTAACTACAATGTTGTGGTTCTGCTTTGGGCTTCTAACTGCAAGGTCAGCAGTTCAAAACCACCACCCACTCAGCAGGAGAAAGACAGGGCTACCTTCTCCTGTAAAGAGTCATGGTCGTGGAAACCCACAACGGGAATTCTACCCTTGTCCCGCAGGGTCACTGTGAGTCGGCATCAACTTGATGGCACGAGTTTGGTTTGGGGGTTGATTGCGATCACTGCTAATTTGTGAACCTACTCGTAGGTCCCCACATTTTTTGGCCTACTGCCTCCTTTTTAGAGTACTCATCGGCCCCCTGGCAATTAAAAACTCTTGTACCATGGCCCCTCATCCAGGTTCAAGTGCCTTTATCTGCTTCTGCAGCCCCCTGGCATCTGGTGCCACAGAGGTTGCTAACTGCATGGTCAGCAGCCCAAAGCCCCGCCTGCTCCAAGGGAGAAAGACAGGCTTTCTACTCCAGTGAACAGTCGGGAATCAAACAGAGGCAACCCTTCCCTGTCCTGTAGTCCCCATGAGCCAGCCTGGACACAGTGGCAGAGAGTCTAGATCATTCCAGCACCCCGAGGAACAAATCATTAACTTCTTTGAGAGGGAAGTTGCAATTAAAAGAAAAGCAGGAGAGAGGTTTTAAAAACGGTTTCTGCTAGTTCCTAATAGTGTAACTGATAATGAAATTCCATGTAGAAGCATCTTACGGTTTTGTTGTTAGTATTCGTGGAATCTGGGAAACAGTACAGGTAATCAGTTCAGAACTGTGCTTATTATGTATTATTCTAAGACCAAAATTGATCATAAGCATTACTAAGGACTCCGTATGTATTATATGGGAAGGAGTCCATGGGAGGTGGGAGGGAGAGAGACATCATGAGCTACTGTGAGGAGGGGGTGATGCCAACCCCAGTGGCACTCTGGGTGGTGGTGGGGTCTCTCCTGACTTCTGGCTTGAATCATGCCACCAGCCATCATACTTGGGTCTCTATCTCCTGTTGCATGGTATTTGTGTGTGGGCGTGTGTGGGTGTGCTATGCTTAATGTAAGCTTCACCAGGTGGAGCTTCACTGATGACTCAACAACCATCTCCGTGCCTGGCGAAGAATAAGGTCCCAACAAGTATTTGTCACCATCCTGCAAAGCAATCCTTCGAGAAGTGCATCGAGGTTGCACTCCTTCACCCTGTGATGTTAACAAACTACTCCCTCCACCCCACCCCCGCCCCAACACTCCCCATTCAAGAGTCACTGGCCATCCTCAGCAGACTGCCCCTCGCTTTGTTGCAGGAGCGGCTTGTGCTGTCTGTGCTGCCCCGGTTTGTCGTCCTGGAAATGATCAATGACATGACCAACGTGGAGGACGAGCACCTGCAGCACCAGTTCCACCGGATCTACATCCACCGCTATGAGAATGTCAGGTGAGAGGCGCCCCTGTGCGCATGCACGCCCACTTCCCTCTGCCAGCGCCTTCCTTCCCTGGCTGATGAATTCATCAATGAGGGTGATTCAGCGCAGAGTGCTACATGGCCAAATGGGGGCTGGGACAGGATGTCGCAGGAAAGCCATTCAATTTTTTGCCAGGTGACTTACGGTACCACCTGGCTACCCTGCAGGAAGCTTACTGGTGGGAAAAGCAAACGTCTTTTAGAAAAACAGCCCCAGAATGTGCTCTGGAGGCTTCAGGGTTGAGCACATAGGTCTCCCTCTTTCCAGTCTCATGTCCTTAGCTGCCATCACTCAGTTCCGACCCATAGCAACCCTGTGCACAACAGAACGGCTAATGCATTCAGTGTACCTTGAACTTCGTCCTTCAGCACCACTGGTTCTCCCAGTCCTCACAGGTGTCTTTAAAGAAAGACCAAAGGGAGCACTTCCTCTCTTTCCTTTACAAACGGTGATTTGCCCAATCAGTCATTCTTTCATCCATCCATCCACCCACCATCTATCCCTTCTTCCTTCCTTCTCTCCCTTCATCCATCCATCCATCCATTCACCTTTCCATCTGTCCAGCCGAGCATCTCTCAATGCAATCTACATACTGTGCCCTGAGTAGGACATGTTCAAAATTGGCACGTGAACTTCAAGGGGAAGCAGAACAACTTTAGAATCCGGTGCTGTCTTCTTTACTGTGGCCTTGGGCATTTACATACCCGTGTCTCAGGATCTGATTTTAATAGCCACATTGCAGGGTTTTGTAAATATAACTTTGTGGCTAAGATCCCAACACTTCATCCTGGGCACCACCAGGGACTCCTCAAATACTGTACAAGTCAGGCGAGACACAAAGCAGAGAGCAAAGCTAAAAATAGCACCCATCGTCTTGTAAGTTATTTCAGATATATGACTGTGTTGCAAACGCAAGCTCTGAAGCAACAGGTATCCAAAGATGACATGGCGGGGGACAGAATGATGGGGAAGATTGACATCTTGTGTGGGACCCGGTCTGCCATGACGAAGGCCACAGAATCCGAAGCACAGCCAACATCATTTGAGAGCAGGGCAGTGAGGATGCTGCTGCCCTGACCCTTAAAAGTCTATTGCCCTTGCCACCAATTCCCTGTCCCTGACACAGCATGCCCTGCCCCCACTCCCTGCACTTGCATCCACAGCCCAGAAACTGCAGGTTGCTACCTTTGCCTGGTTCCCATTCTCTGCTGCCCCTGCTTCTTTGCATCATAATGTAAAGCTGTGGGCAGGTGTGTCTAGTTGGCTGAGTCCAGTCATTTGGTAGTGTTGTTGTTAGCTGCCATCAAGTTGGTTCTGGCCCATAGCAACCCTATGCACAACAGAACAAAACATTACCCGGTCCTGTGTCCTCCTCACCCATAGTTGCAGCGACAGTATCAAGCCATCTCATAGCGGGCCTTCCTCTTTTTCACCATCCCTCCACTTTTCCAAGCATGGTGTTTTTCTCCAGGGACTGGTCTCTCCTGACAACATGTCCAAAGTATGTCAGATGAAGTCTCGCCATTCTTGCCACTAAGGAGCACTCTGTACATCTTCCAACACAGATTGGTTTGTTCTTTTAGCCGTCCCTGGTACTTTCAATATTCTTCCCCAGCACCACCATTCAAATGCTTCAGTCCTTTGGTCTTCCTTATTCAATGTCCAACTTTCACATGCATATGACACAATGCAGAATACCGTGGCTTGGGTCAGCAGTACCTTAGTCCTCAAAGTAACACCCTTGCTTTTCAATACTCGAAAGAAGTCTTGTGCAACAGAGTCGTCTAATACCATGTCTTGATATCTTGACCACCACTTCCATGAGCATTGATTGTGGACCCAAGCAAAGCAAACCCCTTAACAACTTCAACCTTTTCTCCATTTACCCTATTGGTCCCATTGTGAGGATTCTGAGCTCCCTTACATTGAGTTTTAATCCATACTTCGTCTCCATCAGCCAGGGCCTCAAGTCCTCCTCACTTTCAGCAAGCAAACTTGTGTCATCTGCATGTCACAGGTTGTTAATAAGCCTTTCTCTGACCCTGATGCCACACTCTTCATATAACCTAGCTTTTCTGAAGATTTGCTCAGCATACCGATTGAACAAGTCTGGAGAGAGGACACAACCCTGACGCACACCTTTCCTGATAGAAACCATGTCGTTTTCCCATGTTCTGTTCACACAACTGCCTCTCGATCCACGTGGTCTCTAGCATCTTCAGCTTGTTCAGTAACAATGGGCCATTGCCGCTGAGTCCACTCTCACTCATGGCAACTTGCAGGGGTCCCAGCAGCACTGGCGCCTTAAGGTTTTCAATGGCTGATTTTTTTCCCCCCAGAAGTAGATCACCAGCCTTTTCTTCCAAGGTGTCTCTGAACAGAGTCAAACCATCAACCCCTCAGTCAGCAGGGACCACCTCAACCATTACCACTAACTGCACTGACCAGAGCCCCTGCTCATGTAGCTTCGCTCCCACTGCCATTGAGGCAATGCTGACTCCCAGCACCCCTACAGGAGAGGGTAGACCCGCCCCTGTGCATTTCAGAGAGAGTGACTCTTTATGGGAGTAGAAACCCCTGTCTTCCTCCCAAGGAGTGGCTGGTGGTGGGAAATGCTGACCTCGTAGTTAGCAGCCCAACGAGTCACCACCGGGCCACCAGGCTCTGGCTTATACAGTAGAAAGTTGTCTTTTCCTCCCACCAAGCAGCATAAAGTAAAATGCCCCAAGCATAGGAGAAAGGCCAGAGGTTAAATGTTTCTAAACATGGCAAACATCTGCTTATTTCTTCCCACTTCTGAAGAAGGAAGGTCAGATGTTCCCCTCCTTCAGGAACTCTGTGTTCTCTGCCTGGCATAGAGGTGCCCAGCAGACAGCGTGTGGGAGTCGGACACTACCTTTGCTGTGTACCTCAGTCCAAGTCATTCTTGGGAGCCTCTGTAGGACTTGGCCCCCTTAAACAATTCTTCCCAAATGTCGCTATGAGTCAGAATACAATCAGTGGCAGCTGGTTTTGTGTGTGTGTGTGTGTGTGTGTGTGTGTGTGTGAGAGAGAGAGAGAGAGAGAGACGGTGCTGTCGCTGTTGGACTGCTAGCCACAAGGTCAGCGGTTCAAACCCACCAACCTCTCTGTGGGAGAGAGATGAGGCTGCCATGCCCTCATTAAGATCTGCAACCCCAGAAAGCCTACACAGGTGTGCTATGAGTTGAAAGCAACCTGCTGGCCTGACCGGGAGTTTGGTCTGTGGTTTTGGTGGCATCACATGGAAGCGCTTGATTGCCAACAAGGTGATTCGAAGTTCAGTCCCTCCCAGGACCCCTGCGGGAACAAGACCCGGTGATCTGCTCCCATGACAATTAGAACCGAGAAAGCCCTGCTCTGTGACACGGGGCAGCTAGGAGCCCAGTGATGGCCTGGAAAACCCGGCAGGGAGACAGCATCCACACCAATACACAGGACCCTCGGACGAAAGTGCCTTTCTCCATCGAGAAAGGGGTGGAACTGAACTGTATGCAAAAGACAAACAGCACATCTACACCTCACCAGACACTCGACGTCCAGAGTCGGCTCTGCACCACAGAGGGCTATCTCTGCGCTGCTCCAGGGTCAGGGCTTCCCTGGGTGTGAACAGCCTGTGGCCGCTCCTCCTCCCCACTTAGTTGACATTGTCACACTGAGCTCTTTGTCCTCTTGGCACCTGTCCCCGCAAGCTCACCCCATACTACACCAACATGTTGTTGACTGCCCTCCATTCCTCAGCATCCCCACCTCGCGAGCCATTTCTAGAGGGTGGGGAGGCACACAGAAGCCCGCTGCTCCCCTCATCTACCTGCCGGCTGGTCACAGCAGCTCTCAGGGGGTTGCAGAAGATGAATTCAGCTCACTGCCAGGCTACTGGGTGCTGAGAGAAGATGAGAAACAAAAAAGGTGGAATTAGACTGCACCCTGCTCCATTCCTTTCCAGTCCCTGAAGAGAACCCACTATGGGGTTTGGAGCAATCGTGGAAATCCCTTCCAATCCTGTCACGTTCTTCTTAGCAGCCCGCATGCTGTGCCCTGCCTCGCTCTGCTGTGTCAGACGGTACAGAGGACGCACACAGAGTCCGCCCAAATGTCTAAGGTGCCTCACATACCAGATTGTCTGTTGCCACCCATGCATCAAGGCACGGCATTTGTGTGCCCACATGAACAGGGCAGGGCCTCATTCAGAATTTTCTCTGGATGTCATTCTGACAGGCTTTAGGCTGAACCATTCCATCTTTCTGAGCCTCAGTTTCCCAATTCAAAACCTGAGCTCTTGGAAAAGGACAAAACCCGTGGCCTCTTGGTCTCAAATTGGTCTTCCCATTCCATCTGCCCAATTCCCTTTGTACTTCCTCTTTTATTTTGTTCAAATACCGAAGACACTTCTTGTACCGGTGAGCACCATGCTAGCAGTTGTAATAAAATCACCCCTACACACACACAATTACAATTATTTTACTCAGCCATTTCTTCTCGGACAGTAACTCAGGGACAGGGGCCTCTGTCTCTCATGGCTGCTCCGTCCCCTTGGCCCCAAGAGTCTCTGCATTCCTCTTTGGAAGACGACAAGAAGAGAGTAGGCATTTGTCCCCAGGAGGCTGCAGAGCCATTCCATCGATAGGGCCATGCCATATCAACTCTCAGCAAGCCTCCTCGCCTCCGTGAGCCTGTCTCCCCATCCCCATAGCACAGCAGCAGTCCGGCCTCAGCTCTTCTCTGGGAAAGGTGACTGAGACCCGTGCTCTCAGTGCTCGGCTTTCAGGAGCTTAAGGACTGCCCCTTCCCTTGTTTCCCCTTCCCTGGGGCCAACCCAAGTGACTTCCGACCCAGGGAGCCCTGGTGGTACGAGTTCAGTGGCAGACTGCTCACCTCAAGCCCGTCCACCCAAAGGGAATAATAGGAGGCTGCTTATTCCCTTATAGGATCCCTGGTGGCATAATGGTTGCTCATGGAGCTGCTAACCAAGCTGTCAGAGGTTTGAAAACCACCAGCCACAGCGCTGGAGAACGATTTGGCTTTCTACTCCTGTAAGCGTGGCAGTCTCAGGAGCCCACAGAAGCAGTTCTACCCTGTCCTACCAGGGTGGGCATGAGTCAACGTTGACTCGAGGGCAGTGAATGGTTTTTGTTTTTGTTTTGTTTCACAACCCCTTAAAGATCGACAGTCTCAGAAATCCTAAGGACCAGTTCTACTCTGTCCTGTAGAGTCACTCTGAGTTGGAATTCAACTCAGTAACAGTGGGTTTTTTTCCCTCACTATCCTGAAGGTAAGGATCGCTGGTGGTTCTGTGGGTTAGGCATTGGGCTGCTAACTACCAGGTTGGTGGTTCAACCCCACTAACCACTCCTAGGAAGCAAGATGGGCCTGCCAGCTCCTATAAAGAGTCCACTGTTGGAAACCTAAGGGCACAGTTTTGCCTTTTCCTAGACCAGTGGTTCTCAACCTTCCTCATGCCACAACCTTTTCATACAGTTCATGTTGCAGTGACCCCCAACCATAAAACTAGTTTCATTGATACTTCATAACTGTAATTTTGCTACTGGTATGAATTGGGCAACCCCTGTGAACGGGTCGTTCGACCCCCAAAGGGGTCATGACCCACAGGTGGAGAACCGCTGCCCTATGGGATCACCATGGCAGTTGGGGTGAAAGCTAACAGCTGGAGGTTGGAACCCATGCAAAGCACCTCTGAGGGAGAAAGTCCCCCATAAAGATGCTCATCAGCCAGGAAACCCCCCTGAGAAGTTCTACTTCATAATTCCCGGGTCGCCATGAGTCTGAATCTGCTCAGTGGTGGCAGCTTTCAATCTAAACTATATTCTTTGAATCAGGCCTCACCTGGAAGGCTAGGTGAATGAGAGAGCTTGGAAAAATGGCTCCTTCTGACGGAGGCCTCCCAGCTAGTCTCACCATGTCTTGAGAGGAGGGGGGGTGCCTAACTCGATTTGTGCCCTTTGGGGTGAGATGCTTATCATTGGAGGAACCCTGAGGTGAAATGATTTTAAGGACTTGTTGGCAACTGACCCTGGAGGGAAAAACACAGTGACTTGCTCCCTTTAAGAATTAATAGCCCAGAAGGCCCACTGGGGAGTTCCACTCTGCCCGTGGGGTCGCTGTGAGTCGGATTAATTCGACAGCACCCAACAGCATTTATCACTGGGTTTCGTTTCCTGTTTTCATTTCATCTGCCTGCTTTTCCCTGTGCTTTTAGCATCTGCACTGCTTCATGTGGTGAATATTCACCCTGTTTTTTGTTGTAATGGTTCAGAGCGGCACAGCCGTGCTTGGGCTGTTAACGGCTCCCACACTCCACGCCCCTGCATAGGAAGGAGGGCTTTCCGCTGCCCCCTTGTCCTTCCGGACCTCCTCAGTGGAGGGAGTCTGAGATGCCTCTGCATTCCCCAGACTCCCGTGGTGGGGAGAGGGACAAGCTTAGTGCCCAGCCAGGACTGGTTGCTTTAGCTCTTGTTGCTGTGCCTCCGTGGAGCAATGGCAATGTTAATACGTTTTCTCCCCACCCCCTTCCCTGTTGTTTAGTATTCTTTTTGCAGATGTGAAGGGATTCACCAACCTCTCCACGACCTTGTCCGCGCAGGAGCTGGTTAGGATGCTCAACGAGCTCTTTGCTAGATTTGATCGACTGGCTCATGTGAGTGGCATGTAATTCCCTCCGAGTGGTTTGCAGGGGTGAGGGGCCGCGTGGGGAGTCGGGGAGCAGGACTCAGCCTTCATCACACAGTCAGCACCCTTCTTGGCCGCGGACCTCAAGCCCCACGCTCGTTCTGGGAATGATGTGACTTATTTACAGGCTCGGGAGGGGAGGCTTGTCAGACCAGTTTTCCCACCAGGACAGCTGGGAGAGCGACAAGTGAACCACCGTCTATTTCATCTGTGTGTCACTCCCAGCCAGTATGGCCCCTGCATGTGGCCAGGTGCCATCACAGCTCAGTGCTTGGGCATGCAGTGGTGGCCGCCTGCCGTTTCCTGGCCAACCCCAGCCATCTGGAATGAATGTGCCCGTTCTCAAAAACCAGCCCTCAGCGGTGCCAGCCCGTCGCCATTTTGTTTCCTAACTCAAGAGTTCCTTTTGTGTTTCTAGCCCACGAGACCCTGCCTCCCCTTCCCGTGGGGTCACTAGGCGCTCACCGGGAGAAGCGTCAAGGGGGCTAGACCTTTGCTGTCCAAACACAGAACCCTAGTCTTCAAGGCCCTCAAAGTACAGAGGAATACTGTCATCAAACTCTATTTGCGAGTGAGCAAGCTGCTCATTTTTAGCCAGTTTCTCCATAGATGCTGCCGGCTAACAGCAGTAGGCCGTTCACCCACAAGTCCCTCCGCCAGAGAAAGACGTGGCAACCAGCTTCCCTGAACAGCGACGGTCTTAGAAACCCTGTGGGCGATTCCACTCTGTCTTGCAGCGTCTCTGTGAGCTGGAATCAGCTTCGTGGCAATAGGTTGTGCCTCCTTATAGGGCCTCATAAACACGATGGATTGAAAACTTACGATGTGAGAAGTCTCGATGCGTGTGTATGGGGGGGGAGGATGATAGTTCATCTGGCTCAATAAAATTTGCCAGGTGACCATCGCCTACTTTCTTTTTCTCTTAAAAGTCTCTTTTTGACAAGCGGTCTAACTTCCTTCCTAAGAACTTTGCAAAGCAGCTCCTGGTAGGAGAATGTTCTTGGCTATGACTGCCAAGGTGTCTGACAGCTCCTAGGATTGGATCAGAAAGATGTGCCTGCGATTGACAGAACTCGGTGGAGAAGAAAACAGAAGACAATTAAATTTTTTTAAAATTATTTTTTAAATGTATTTAAAACATTTAAATACATATTCAGCTATAGATACATGAAAATACATACATATACAGACAAGACTTTATTTTAAAATTTTATATATATATATTTTGATATATATATGTCACATACCTACATCTATGGATGAAAGACAAGCCTTTATTTTATCATTCTAAAATATAGATGCATGTATATACACATGCATACATACACATATTTATATAGATGTATCACAGACCATTTATTCTAAGGGGCCCTGGTGGCACAACACTTTAGTGCTGAGCTGCTTCCTGAAGTTAACAGTTTGGACCCACCCAGAGGTGCCATGGACTTTGCCAGCTATTCCTGTGTGGACAAGAAAAATGGACTCTGGACACAAACCCCTTCTCCACATTGTTCCGTTTTTGCTCCAGAAACGAACAAGCCATTTCATCCTGTCTTCTCCCCAAATACATTTCCACACCCCCAGCCCCTACCCCAGGAGCTCTGCCATTTAGGACTTAGTCATCATTTTGTAGTCTGTCATGTTCGAGAGAAAATACCATGGAAGCCCCACGTCAGACATGATTTTGAATTCCATCTCTCCCCCTCACTTACTCTGACCTTCACCTGCCTCCAGCCTCCCATGCCTCACCTGCAAAGTGCAGAGGACCCCCACCCACCGTGGTCACAATAAACAAAGGAGCCTGACGCAATGCGTCCGACAAACCTGGGCACATCGTACGTGATCAAGAAACACCCGTTCCTTTCCTGACTTACATTTATCCAAAGTGTGTGCCTCTTTCTGTTTTCCTGGCGGGGCCAGTGGTGTGCCAGGGCTTGGTGCACGTTACAACTGGCCAGATGATTGCTTTTAGCCAGCAGATCCTGAGCGAAGAGTTAGAAGGTGTTCAGGTTTGCTCACAAACTTTTGGAAGTCCCTTCATATGTTTCCTGTGCCCCAGTTGTTCATCGTCTACGAAACAGCTATGAGCCCTACCTGCCTGCCCGGTTCAGGCTTCTTGTAAGACTCTGGGGAAGAGAGGTAAGGAGTGGCACCTGGCCTCTTCCTGCTGTTGAGTGCCATCATCACTGTGAATCAGTGGCCAAAGCTGCACTTATCTTGTTACGTCAACTGTTGTAACTTGTCAGGGCTGTTGTAAATGAGTCGGGGCTGGGGGCGAAGCGGGAAGTCATAGTGGTATAGCAGTTGGCAGAAAGGTTGGCAGTTTGAACCCACCCGCCTTTGGGAGGGAGAATGACGTGGAAGTCTGGAAACCCCATGGGGCAGCTCTGCAGGGTCTCAAGGAGTCAGGATCAACAGCAATGGGTTTGGGTTTGGGGCATTTAGTCGCATTCGGGGAATTGAAACCCATCGCACTTAAGTGACTACCCAAGGTCACACTACTGGTACATTTCACTAGAATTGCTCCATTTCTACTCCAACCTTGCCTCTGCTCCCTCCCAACACCAGTACAGAAGCAGAGGCAGGTACTGAGTGCTTGAAGGGTTTGGCGGCAAAGGCCACCCCAGCTTGAGCCACTCACAGCAGGCTCTGTCCCAGAAGACCATTTGCGGATGAAGTAACATGGCTGATTAGTCGCCAGCCCTGCCTCCCGGCCTCAGTTCTTATCTGCAAAAGCAGAAGAGAAGCAGAAGAGGGCATTGGCTCAAAGGTTCCCCAGTGCTCTTCTAGTGTCCTGGTAGCATGGTGGGTTAGGAACTGGGCTGCCAACCGAAAGGTCAGCAGTTCGAATGCACCAGTCAGCCCCACTGGATGAGAAAGATGAGAGTTTCTCCTCCTCTACGGGTTTACAGCCTTGGAAACCCACAGGGGCAGTTCTGCCCCATCCATATTCTAGGGTCTTTATGAATCAGAATGAACCCAGTGTCAGAGAGCTTGTTGTTGTTTTTAACTGGTGAATGCAAGATGAGAAATATTAACGATCGGAGTGATGCAGTGAATGTTCATCAAGGTGCACTTATTGAGTAAAAAGAAGCCAGTTGTCATCCAATTGTCTCCTACTCCTGGTGGTCCCGCATGCTCAGAGGGTTTTCAGTGTGCAAGGTTAGAGGCACAAGCCCTGCCCGGAAAGGTGGATGGTTTGGACATACCTAGAAGAACCACGGAAGGAAAGGCTGGTGATTTGCTAGTGCCACGAGTACAGCCAAGACACCAACCCCCATGGAGCCATCCCCTGCTCCAGCCCCTGGGGCCAGCTCAGTGGCAGGAGGCTTCGTTTGGATCTCTCAGGCCCTCCCCCATGCTGCCTCTGGGCGGCCCCTGGCCTCCAACGTTGCAGTGAGCACCCCCCAGGGAAAATCCCCAGGGTGCGTGATTTTCCTTTATTCCAAAAATATGCCTGCTACTTTTTGTGGCATTGACAGTGACCCAAAAAGTGCTGTGGCTAGGGGGTGGGAGCTGAGCTGTTACCCCGGCTGGCTGGTTGTTGATCGGTGGATTTGGGGTTGTTCCTTGGCAAAAAGCAAACATTGCAGCCAGAGGGAGTCCCTCAGGCCGTTTGGTTTTCGAAGGGAGAAAACCAAAAATCATGTTCCCATGAATTCTGCTCAAAAAGACCAGAGAGACCGAGGGCTGGTCCGAGGGTTTTGTTTTTGTATTCTGGCAAGGGAGCAATGGAAGACCCCAGCCAGCCACAACAGTACCTGTCAGGATTGGCAGACAAAACGCCCTCTAAGATCTAGCCTGGCCACCACCCACAGGAAGCCTTCAAGAGAGCCCTGGAGGCTGTGAGCCTCCCTGAGTGGATCAGAGCCCATCTCCAGCTCTACTGCAAAATTAGCTGCAGTGAGCCAGCCAATAGACAGAAACCACAGGTCCTAAAAATAGCCCCAGGAAGGTGGTGATGCCATCATGGTTCCGAGGATGGCATCTGTGCCCACTGAGGAAGGTTGGCAGGGCCCCAGAGACATGGTCCAGACGGGGCATCTCCAGAGCCAGCTCTGAGTCTCTTTTGCCTGGTCTGATATGTGCCTTTTATTGGGAGGGTGATTACAATATGTCCCCCAAACGCAATAGCCCAACTCCTGATGTGATTAGGGGAGCCAGCTCGGTGCAGCCCAGCTTGGCATCGCAGCCATCGCTGAGTCCAGCTCCTCCTTCCAAAGAAATTAAGAGGCCTGCCCACAAGCCCCAACAGAGGTGGGAGGGCGTAAGGACCCGAGCGGGAGTCATGCTCCCGTAGGCAACAGGGACTAAGCCCTCATCCCATGATCCACAGCGTAAGGTCCTCCCAGCCTAAGTCTCACTCTCCTCTTCCCATTTTACAGACAGGGCCTGGAGGCCCCGAGGTCCCAGGAATCACCCAAAGATGTGTAGCGAGGGTGTGAGGGGTCAGCCGCTGTGCTAAGCCCCTAGGCTGTACCACATCCAGGTCTCCTTCTGGAAAACCTGCCGCTGGTGGCCCCTTCCAGCCGAACACACAAAGAAGCGCATTTCCTTGGTGCTTCCAGCTCTTTTTGAGAATCCCTAAGGGCCGTCTCTTTCACATGACCACTCCACCAACAGGACTGTGTCCTCCTGCCACCTGAGGCTCCAGGCGGACAAGCCCTCACAGGTGGTGGTGAAGGTGAGCAAGGCAGGCGCCTCAGGGCAGTTAGTCTCCATCCGCCTGTGTCCTCAGCCCCAGGGGCAACGTTGGACTGTTCATGGGCGTGAGAGTAGACGTTTTTTCTCTTCTTTCAATGAGCAAGCGAAGGCATTAATAAATGAATGACAGGATTATACAGTACAGTCCCTCCTTCTTCCCAAGGTCCTGCCCCTCGTTAAGGAAGAACTTAAAATAGAGTTGAGAAGATAGGGGATCCTGAAATGAGCTGATATGATTAAGTGCTTATTGTGCTAAAGCATACTAAAAGCTGTTACATCAAAGATATGTGAGCGTGCAGGTTGAAGACCCACTTTTCACCTGGCCCCATCTAGGAGATGGATGTCCGGGTCATAGAGTGAGGACCTGCAGGTCAGAGAGTGAGGACTGGCCGAGCTGAGATGGAACAGGACTTGTCAAAGTCAAGAGCCAGTGTTTTTCCATGATACCGAGGCGCCTTCACACCCCCCGGCAGGCAGGGCGCATCCCAAACTTCCAAGGAAAGCAGTAGGAGAGCTGGGTTTCCAGGAAGATGTTCCTGATCCCAGAGTGCAGAGGCCTGACCCTACCCTCCCTTTCCCAAGACGCTCGGAAGTACTGAGCGCTCCGCTGACTTGGGCCTTTCTCCGCCCGCTCTCTCCTCACAGGAACATCACTGCCTTCGCATTAAGATCCTGGGAGACTGCTACTACTGCGTGTCCGGACTCCCCGAGCCCCGGCAGGACCACGCCCACTGCTGTGTTGAAATGGGCCTCAGTATGATTAAGACCATCAGGTAACCCATTCCTGGCACCCTTGGGTGACTGCACTCATAGTGAGCCCTCCCACCACACCTGGGCCTGCACCGTGCACAATAGCAGAGGCAACTGGAGCCACCGCCCTGAAATCTTTCACCAAAATTGCATTCCATTCACTCTCCCCCAGGAGCCAATGCACCTGCTAGCTTAGTCATTTTCCAATTATACCTCACTTTCAATTATTTATACAACAAATTTGTATTGCAAATTCCCTTGCTGAGCTAGAGCAAGGAAGCAGACGAGCAACGACTGTCCTCGTGTTCAGGGAGGTTACAGAGCACACGGGGAGGTGAACACAGAAGCAGGAGCTGTCGGCTGGGTGATGAATTAAATCCAGGCCATAAGGGGAATGGAGGAGGAAGGAAGCGCTACCTCTGTCCGAGGTGTTAGAGGAGATTGTCTAGGGGTGTGTGTCTACACTGCTTCCTGGGGGGTGGGGGGTGGGGGTGGAGTGTAATCAGAAGTTACCCAGCACAGACTCCACTCTGAGCTTCAGTGGCTGCAGGGGGCGGTGGACAGGGCAGTGAGGAGCAGCGGACTGCAGAGTGGGGAGCAGCCAGGTCAGTGTGACCTTTGAAGTCGCCTTAAAGAATTGCACTTAATCCACTGGGAAAATACTGGAGGGCTGCCCCCCAGGGCCAGCTGAGAGGTGACAAGTGTGCTAGTTTGAGGCATTCTGTCTCACAAACAGCAGCTCACCCAGGCGGCAGGGTCTGGAACTAGACTGTGTCCGCGAGAGAGGGACGCCGTGTGAGCAGAGCTCCCCTTGGGCCTCCAGCATGCCTGCAGAGCTGCGCAGTGCCGCACCCTCAGCCCACCACAGCAAAGGCAAGAACAGGTGGCATGGGGCAAAGAGATCTTTCCTTGGTGTATGCCTTTGTCTTCCGAGCAAAGAAGACTCTTCTCCCTTGGGTATATCAGATTGAATTTAAAGGAACAAAGTCAAGCAACAGCCACTGCACCAACACACACACACACACACACACACACACACACACACCCCTTAGTCTTGACTCTCCTGCTGCTTTTAAGCCTGGAATGGCCTGGATGGATTTAGGCAACTGGAGCCCCCTGTTGCTGAGCCTGGCAATGTCCAGGTCGGTTCTGACCCCTTCTACTGGCTAACAAATCCCTGCTTCCTTCACGTCTGGAGAATTCCGTTGACCTCAGGAAAGGTGGCTTGGTTCCCAGTTAGAAGCAGACAGTGAGCCCCAGGCTGGCTCGAGTAGTTAAGCTAAGGTCGGCATGTAAGTCCATCTCGAAGCCCTTGGAAGAAAGACCGGAGATGTACATTCAAGAGCTCACAGCCACTGAAAATCCAGTGGAGCAGAGGTCCAGTCTGCCGCCGCGCACGGGCTCACCGTGAGATGGAATCAACGTAATGGGAACTAAGTAGGTGGGTTGGTTTTTTGCTTTCTTCAAGAAGAGGGCACACAAAGGCATCTCCAAATGTGGTCCTGCTTTTTTGTGCTCCACTGACACGACCCTCCTAACTGCTCTGTGGATAAGCCCATGGCCACGTCAAGCCTCCATCTGAAACTACCCTCCCGGGCAATAGATATGAGGATGGGAGCTCATTATCACGCCTCTGTTGAGTTATTGTAGCTTTTGAGAGACATCCTAGGCACTCACTTATGTTACTCACAGCTACTCTATGGAAAACCAAACAAAACACAAGAATCTCCCTTGGCAATAGGGCAAGCTTCGGCTTTAGGGGGTTAAGGAGCTCAACAAGATCACAAGGACAGTAAGTCACGGTCCAGAGACTTAGCTAAGATCTCTGTAGTTTCAATGCTGGAGAAATCCTTTCTGCTTGGTCATTTGTTAGCATTGTGACTTTGGCCCGCCGTCCACCTCTTGGTTGGCCGCCATTCGATTGTGTGGTAGCTCCTGTTCCCTGTGGCCTTTCCCTTCCGTAACCAGCGGGAGGCATGAACATGCATCTCGGAGATTCGCGTGCCTCCAGGTAACCCCAGAACCTCCTGGACTGAATAACTTCTGGGGAACATATATACTACCAACCCCACATGCTAAGATGTCTGCAGACTCGGTTCTGAGACAGCCAAAGAACAAATCCCAATTGGAAATACCAAGTGTACCCCCACCTGTCCGTCCCCCCCACCTCTACCCTCCCACAGGACCTTCCTTCTCTTCTGCTTCCTTCTCCCTGGCTCCCACACTCACTTGGTTTCCCTTCTAGAAATATCGTGCCCACCTTCCTGGTCTTCCTTCCAGCCTGCTCACCTAACAGAGGCCATGTGCAGGGCTCCCCTCTTGGAGGCAGCATGGTATAAAGGCAGGCACAGACACTGGGTTCAGGCAGATGCAGGGATTCGATCTCAGTCCCACCACCATTTGCCGTGTGACCAAACCACTGGGTCTCAGTTCCCTGTCCAGGCCTGGACTGACATAGCATTATCCACCCGGAGGGTGATTGCAGGACTGGAAGGAGGTGACCTCCACACTGGACCCGCTCAAAGTAAGCTCCATTCAGAACATCAGCCTCTCAGGAGAATGGCTTATGTATCCAAACCTTGCCTGTACTGCCCTCTTCTGGGGACCCCGAAGACTTTGCAAGTTGACAGCTGAATTTGCAAGAACTAGAAAAATAGCAAGGATCATTTTTCTCCGCTGCTTGCTGCTCTAATTTGTGAGGGGAGATAGGGCCCTGGTCTGTGGTTCTGCCTCCTCCCTCGCTTGGCAGAGAAAGAGAAAAACAATTGAAATGCAGGAGAGATGTGCTCCCTCAGCACCGATACCACCTGGCCCCCTCCCCCCACCAAGCAGGCTATCATTGGTTCCGAATCAAAGAGAAAGAGATGTTCATGTCTGGGAGATACCCTGGGATGCCAGGACGAGGAAGAGCCCACAAAAGCCCTGTTGCTGCGAAGAGCTGCAAGAGCCCCCACCCCCGAGTCATGCTCCGGGCAGCAACCTCGGAGCAGAAACCTACCAAAACGGTATGTCCGGCAACAGGCTAGGCCTTGAAACATCGCGGGCCCATTGAGTTCTCACAACAAGCTGGCCGAGCTGAGTGGGTGTTGTTGAAGTCACTTATTTCATTGACAGGAAAGTTGACATTCAGAGCATCCAGGTGGCTTAGCCCAGAGGCCCATCCTGGTTCATCTCACTTTCATCATCCGATGTCTTAAACAACCCTGTGCCGAGCCCCCTGAAAAACGCAGGGACACGCACATGCATGACCAGCATTGGGGATCATGTCTCTTAAGCTCATCTCGTCCCCTGGGTAACCCACGATGGATAATTTGACAGTGGTTACACGGGGCTGGCCGCCTCTCCCTGGACACATTCCTGACCTTCACCAGCTGTTCGTCATTCATGGCCACTGAGTTGGCTCCAACTCTTGATGACCAGGTGGTGCCCTGGTCCCACGCCACCGTCCCCCACACCAGCATGTTGGAATCCATTGCCTGGGCCCACCCACCGAGGGCTTCTCTCATTTGTGCCGACTCTCTGCCACACCTGAAGTCCTGGTTGAGAAATTGGTCTTTCCTGATGCTGTGTCTAAAGGAATCCGTCCCACCACCCTGCTTCCAAGGAGGAGAATGTTGTTGCTACTCCATCCAGCCAATTTCAGCGCACCACAACCCCTTTCCGTCAGGAGAGGCTCCTGTGCCCACAGCGCCACCAGCCGTCCATGCTTGGAATAGAGCACTTAGACCTCCATCTTAACTGAGAAGAATGTGTGATTGTCACAGGCTGATTGCCCCACCTGCCCTTGTGGAAAAGTCTCTGATAGCCATTCCAGCAGGCCTCCTTGAATGGATATCCCTGAAGATCCCCTATAAGACCAGGAAACGGCTTTGGGGAAAAGAGTGAGGTGTGATAGGAATTTCTACTGGTTTGTTAGCAAAGTTATGACAAAAAAATCCACTCCTTCATCACCCCTCAGACCAAGTTCACAGGTGGAGCTAGATTGGATGGGTCCAACCTGCTGATGCAGAAGTCCCTCCTCCCTCTCGGCTCCCGTGGAGAGGACCTCAGGGTTCCACCCTGAAGCGCCATGTTGACCAACTGTGGTAGAACAGAAAAGAACTCGATACTTTTCTCAGCCTCTGATTTGACCGCTTGAGGGATTTGCCAGTGAGCTAGGATGAGTGCTGAGTTCCTACGTTCACTGGTCTTGGTGGAGACCATGAGGCTGAAACCCAGAAGATATGGGATCTCGTACCAGCAGCTCTCAGGGGAATTCGGCATGTGACCTGTTTTGTCAGTCACTGGTAGACCAGTCAACGGTTTCGAAGCTCCTTCTGTGTGCCAGTTCCAGTGCTCAGCCCTGGAAATAGGTCCCTCCCAGGACCTTCTCTTGATCATTGGTACCCATTAAGGAGATCCCTTGGGCAACTGCCTATACAATGAGTCAAGGGGGAAGACCAGCTCTAAAGTCCATGCCGGTTCTAAGAATCTGTGATTGACCAATTGCATAAAAATTAAGTGCCCGCAGCAAACCTTTCCATGGGAGCTTGTATCTTGGGCATAAGCAGAAGATGGGCCACAGAGAGGACATACCAGAAGAAGTGAGCATCTATTATTGAAATGCTTAAAGATACGTAGAGCATTATCCATTCTCTTTCTGGACAGAACTTTACCCTCCTTGACCTTGCTTTTCAGTGGAAGTGCTCCTGTCTGGATGCTCAGAGCGGGAGTGACAAGTGAGATGGAGTAGGTTGAAATGACTCACGGGCTTTCTCTTGAGAGTTTATTAAGTGCTACTGTTACTCCCTTAGATTAAGACCATTTAGTGGCATTTTTTTAATGGCATGACTCAGAGTCTATTAATACCCAAACAACTCCTTGATTATCATGTAGGTGGCTTTAGGTCCAGCATTAATTCTTCCAGCTAAAAAGGGAAGCATTGTGCCAAGGAATAAACAGGAGCTCAGAGTTGGGTATAATTGACCTGGGTTTCTAGAGTTTTCTCAATGACTGGTCAAGTGTGGGACATGAGGGATCACTA